TTGCGAAATTCTTAAAAATGAAATTTCTAGCAAAAGTATGTTAGCTATTATTTAACATTATATTTTAACCGCGACCCTGCCAAGCGAAAATGTTGTTGCAAAATCCGCAGTGGCATCGCCAAGGTTAAAGAGCAACGAGGTATTTCAGAGCTGGAAATAATAAAAAATAACAAAAGAAAAATACTTATAATGCTGTTGCTAGTCAATTTAGTTGGTGTGATGCACATTTATTGGTACTCTCTCTTTTTAATGCTTGTAATGAAAAATGATCAAATCCAAAACGTTTTGATGAAAAGGTTAGAAAGTAAACTGTGTGACACATGGTTGGAAGTTAGTTCAATTGGTGTGATTACAGTGTATGATGACTTAAATTAGATTCTTACCGCTGATATCTAAATCTGTATTCGTGTCTGAATAAATACAGGAATAATGCTTAAAATAGTCATTATCATAGTTCCAATTCATCTTCATCATACCTAAGATTTTCCAATATTACTCTTCACATATCGTCAAATTCACGTATCATCCAGGAAAACAATTTGATTGAAAAGAAGGTTAAAGCAATTTCAAACAAGACCTCAAACTTATACAATGTCAACTGCTACCCTAGTCTGACCTTACCCGTCAATATGTATCGCTACTTGTAGAAGTCAATGTATTCTCGCGAGCCATTTTATTCTGTTTACCATTCACATAAGTTTCATTGTCGTATTTTCCATATATTCTTTTCACGAGTTTAACCTTATTTTTCCTTTACTTATAATCTTTCTGAAAGTTTTCGCATGACGTAATTCTCAAGACCCTTCTTTTATTTTTGGACCTCTTAAAGGTGATCCAGTGAAATATTATAGATTCCAAGCGAAAACGGTTCAGTTATTCAAATAGCGAAAGAATTCTTTTTTGCTATGGAATGAAAAATAATTTTGTACATAATTTTAAACATAGCAACGTTTTTTGCCTGTTTGTTGTTACCATGGCCAAGTAATGGGTAGTTGATTTTGATTTCTTAATCTGAAGAATTTCATATAAATGTCCATCACAATAATATCGCTTTGTGTTCAATTCAGTTCACAATAGAAAGTGAGAACGCCATACATGTTCATATTTTATAAAGTTCAGAGTTGAGATTGCAAAATAGAAATGGCGACACGCAAAACCTGACACATTCAAATCCGTTCTTACGGAGTCGTGTCAAAACCTCAATCACCGTGGACAATGCTATAATTACGTGTAGAGAATATTTCTGCACATTCAAAGTTAAAAAAGTACGGCATTTACCTGAGAACGTGATTGCCAAACAGTATGGAGACCCACTTTTGCAGCACCTTGACCCACTGCCCCTATAAGTTCTAATACATCACGCCCGCTCAAACTCAAATAATTAATAATAAATAGCTCGAACGATAAAAGTTCTTTATCATTCATTGCATTTCTCACCTTGACATATCGACTAACGTCTTCTATTGTTTTATCACGATTTAGCGACTGATGTTTTCTCTCTAATCTCAATTGTCGATTAAATAGTAGCATACCGAGCCGTGCATGTTGTAAATCGTCTTGTAGAAACCGGTCAATATAATGTTGCTATGTTATGAAACGCGTCGCCGTCTGCCAATTCTCAAGCGCTACTATAATGTCTATACATACATATTTCTTTTCTTATACAAGACCTTCGTTCAAGTACTATCGATCTTTAAAGGGAATAACGAATAGCCAAGTCGACCCAAGATCCATTAAAATAATTGCAGCTATTATAGAAATGTTAGCTTTAACACTTCCATCGACTCGTTTCGCTGCTTTTCTTCTATCTATCAATAACTTTCCTTTACTCACAAATTGCGCAATAGATTGTTTGTTATTAATTTCTTTATCATCTGCATCACTTTCATTGGTAAAAAGGTCAGCTGTATTCATTACTTCGTCCACTTTAATATTTAATTGATATTTGGCAACTTTCCTGATTCAGAACGGAATTGTTTTGTTGAAAGTTGAAACTTGGTATAAATTAACTCTTTACAATTTGCAACAATATGATACATCTTGATTCGATCGTAGTTTTAAATTGGGTTGCCGTGCATTGTTTGTCAATGATGAAGGAAAGTTCAGGGTTGCAATTATTGAAGATGAATTATGTGTAATTTCTTCGTCACGTGTTGTTTGCTTGGTGTTCGAAGTGAAACGATTTGCAGGTCTTTTGTTCCGTCCTTTGTTAGATTGATTGGAAAACTATGCATTTTGCTCTAATACTTGTTTCTTTATTACATGTTTGATTTGTCTTTTTGTTCCCGTTTTTAATGACTTACCATTCTTACATCTTGTGTAAGACCAAACCAGTTCATAAGTCTTATCCACTTTGAAAATTACTGTTACAAAATTAGTATTTCTAATTCATAAAATATTTAATTTTAATTCAGTTAGGTAGACTGTTGTTGTTGGTTTAGTAAATGCAGTTTAAAACAGCTACAGTTTCATAAGTAGCGATTCTCGCCTTGACCTGCCGCCGACGGACGTTTGCGCTTTTTCCCTTACTGAAGTGTTTGTAATCCATTGTTAAGTGTTGCACGTGCAAACTACTGTTCTATGGTGTTCTAATTGTATAGAATTCAGCGATCTTTGTTACGTGTTTAATGCCTATAATTTTCTTTGCATAAAAAGGTCAGTCGATTAGAGATTGTTATTTTAGCGAAGTGATTCTGCTTAGATTGAAGTCCACATTCTTGATTAAAGAACGTCTTTTGGATATTTGCCATGTAAGACTGTTAAAATATTCCAAAGTAGTTATTTCTTTATCTATGATTAATTAAGTGTGAACTTCTTTCACACAAGGCCGACCTAGCTTTCGGTATCTGGACCCGGTAACTGAAACTATGTTTATTATTAATGAATTACCTTCAGTCTGACCTTCCCAGTCTCAAGTTTACACTACTTATATTAAATGCAGTTTTCTTTAACTTGTAAATTGACTTTAAAAGTAAATAGATCGTTCTGCAGCAGTGCTGGTTTTACTAAGGCCGTATTGATTCATCCAGCATCCTCTTTCTCCTGGCCGATTCCCAAATAGGTCATATTTGTGGTCAATTAATGTATGCCTGCGTTTTCCGCAAAGTTACTGCTTGAAAGTGACTCATTATTAACCCAAATGAAATAAAATTTATTTTAACACTTGACAGTGCTTTTCCTCGACATTTTTAGTATTATTACAAATTATCCATCTGTTATTGAGTTTAGTATGTATTTAGCAACTTTAATACTTTGACGCCTAAATTAAGGGTATTATTTTTTTTTTGTTTTCTTTTACTTTCTTTTTATTTAATAGTTTAGTTGTAGTTAATTTTAAGTTGTAAATATTTATGTAGTTATATAAATTATGATATTTAAATAAAAGTAAATTTAGCAACACATTTTGTGATTAATCATTTGTCATTTTATCTTTTTCTGGTGTCTTCTAGTTTTTTCTTTGGTGTCTTTCCTGACGGATGTCCGTCAGCTTTTTGTATTGGTCTTATAGTCTTGTTTGATTATTATTTCCTATAACTTGCACCGTATGCGTAAACTACAGAGATTGGGAAACGCTTGACATAATACAATATCGTAATGGACTTGATACCCGATACGCTCAGGTTGCTCCGAAGATTGTGTTCAATTCTCATGTTGTTATCGACTTTCTTACTTGTACGATTTTATGTCTTTCTTCTTCCACTTTAAACTTCATTTTTAATTGTTGGGTGGTAAGATCTTTTAGTTTTAGCTTTGAAGGTGTTGGTATGTTCATGGTTATCAGTTTTACTTTTTAAAGTGTTAGTTAATAACTTTAGTACTGGAGTTTTTTCCAAAGCTATGATTTAATTATATTATTTTAGATTAAATTTACAAAATTATCCTCATTGTCTATTGAAACGTCAGTAAAAGTAAAACGATCTATTCCAAAAATAAGTCACTTGATATCTCTTTTTAGACGTTGTCCCAGAAAATTGGAAAATACAACATAAAGATTAAGTGTAAAGGAGGAAAATGGTACAGTATATTATTCGTATTTGGGTTACCCCAATGCCTAAATGCTTACAGACTTTAACCTCTGATAACCTTATGAAATTCATTATAGTATATTCTATACGAATTCATACATTTGATAATAAACTAGGCTAGAACTTTTATTGTATCACGTTTCTATTTTTCTGTATCAATAGCTTCATTTTGTACTGATTTGATGATATCTTTGTCGTTGATTGTTGATTTTTCATTGTCTGTCATGTTTTTGACTAGACTTTTTTCTGTCTACATGGTTTAGTTTGTATTTATGAAGTAGGGTTATCATAAGCTGACTTACAATTTTGATGGAAGTAGTAACTTTTTTTAATATCTGTAGAAGATGCGTTTACGTTTATTACGTTTATTTATCTCTTGAGTAAATAAACAGTTAAAATGTTTTGCATACTTATTGCAATCAGGTCAATTAGGGTATACTCTAAAAAGTGAGCCAATTAGTAAATTAAAAACCTGTTTAACGGTTGACATTTTAAAAATATTTCATTTAATTTGTCGACCTTTTGCTATTCCTAAGTAACGTAACAAGGCTTTTACGGTAACGCGTGACGTCACTTGATGACGGAGTCGCAGTGACGTCATCCCGACACGAGCTGAATGAACGATGACGTAGATAATATGTACAAGTTTAAATGGGACTGGGAAGCGTCTGGCGAATAATTTGCTATCGAGCTGTCGTATCGATATTAGTAGCGTAGTTTGAAATTATGTCCAGTGTTTGGGTTTGATGCGTTTCGTACTGTTTGTTGAATGTGTATGTTTTACTTTCCCTTTAAACAATGAAAAACGTGACTCTGTATAAATCTTCAAGCATCTTTTGATAGCAAACAAAATGTAGAATAAATTGTTCACAATAAAATGTACTCTGAATTCACCAACCATTGCAACACTTTCTCTTTTCGTAATAAAACATTCACAAATGTTATTATACTAAAATTATGTTCCGTAAATGGTCAATGGAAGCTATTTACTCCAAATGTGGTAGTTGGTCACGTGGTCAGCATAATTATTATGGTATGTTAATGTAGCTACTCCAAGATCAAGTAGATTTACTGTATGAAAATGACCATACAAATCAGAATCGAAACTCGTTTTTGCACTGTGGTTATCATTGAACTGACTGATATCACATCCATTTACACTTATACCCTTCATATCATCTAGCACAATCCATCTCCTGTCTTCTTCAACTTCTTTTCTATAAGCATTTTAATACGTTACTCTTTAATACTAGCTTGCTAATCTATTACTCTCTTCTTCATCGTTTCTTTATTAATGAAGGTCGTATTTTTCTCGTGATTCTTTCTCGAAGATCTTTAACATAACCCTCCTCGACTTTTTGTCTTCAGCAAGCTTGAAAATAGTGTTGGTTGATGCCTCTAAGATATTTAATTTAATGTTATACGATTTAATGTCTTTATTGAACCCAAAAATGCCGCAATATGAGTGTTACATCTATGTGGAATGAAAGGTGATGCTGATGTATGAGTTTTATCTCTTTTCATTAATGTCAGTAGTAATAGAACATGTAATATAAATAGTTTAAAATAATATTGAACTTGAGCCATGAATAACACAAAGGGGCGTGCCGCATGATCCAGTTTATCTGAGTCTAAATACCAAGCCTGCGACCTACATCTTCTGCCTACGTTGATAAAAGTACTTGAGATGAATACTAGCCAGTATTTTAAATTAATGACTATGGCACTGAGAATTTTTGAAGTGAGTCTATTAAAGAGGGAAGCTGAAGAAATTGTTTAGGCAAATGGTTATACGATAGATATAACACCAGTTAAAGTTACAGATGGAACATGTTCTTTCGTAGTTTTAGATCTGATAATATTACAAGTGAAATGAATAAAAATTCTGGATGATCCCGCATTAAAATTTCCACTATCATCATCTATTCTAAAAACATATTTCTGTCTCCCAATTAAATCGTATTAGTCACGAATCAACCGATTCTTTGAAGCTAAGCTTCTTAGACTCGACGTAGACGTTTGCAAACACCGCCCACGACATGAAGAAATATTGCCGGCATACTTACTGGATTATTAGTCAAATTACTCGTGTTTGTATAAAATTATCTACAATTACTTTCGTATTGTCCTGTCTGATATTTTTTATTAGGAACTCTTTTAATTCTGGTTGTAAACATAACCGGATTACCAAATACTCTTTCAATATCTTGATTCTATAAATCTTCTCTTTTTAAACCTTGAACTTCTTAACATTTACCCTGGAATATCCACCACCACAAGTGTCAATTATACTACAGCTACCAGCACCACACCCAACTGATATTTTAAAATGCATTTTCAATCCTATCACACTGTCATAAAGTTGCATATTTCTCTGCTAGATCAAAGTACTAATTGTTATCTTCTTTCACAGATTACGTAGCGGGAGGTGAACTCTTCACTCATCTGTATCAGAGGGAACACTTCAGTGAAAATGAAGTACGGATATATATAGCCGAAATTATATTGGCTCTCGAGCAATTACACAAGGTATAGTATGAATATTTTTATTGTAATCTAAGTTATTACACTTGAAGACTATTACAGTATAGTTTAGATGCTCCCTCATGTTAACTCTTAGTTCAGGCATGGTCGATGAAAACGGCCAGAAGTATATTAACAGCCAAATTCCGTTCACACCTAGATATTATACTGGACATTCCTGCAGAACAGAAGTGGCTCAGACTTTTTGCTCTGTGTTTAGCTGGTTTCCTTTTCCAAAGACTACTACTATCTAATAATCCAACATCATGTATAAAACTGCAGCTCAGTTAGCTCACCATACAATTTCCCACAATCATACCTTTTTATTATACGACTTCACATTCATATAACATTAATCATTTGTGCTTACCAACTTTTTGTTGACTCTGCAAGGAAGTATGCACTCGAAACACCTGGATAAAGGTCTTAAGGCTTGCATTGAATCACAACAGTTCATGTATAGGTCAAATGGCTCACTTTACTATTTACATAAAAGTTTGTCTGTTTGGAATGTAGTTTTAAAACTAGATCTAGTTTTCTGATTATACTATTTTATATGACAAAGAAAACCTCTTTGTGAAATTCCATGCGTTTTGGATATTGTCTTTAATATTATGAATGTGGTTTGGTTTGGTGATTGACAACTTTTACAAAGATGAATGTCATTTCTAACAGCATTTTGCACGGTATATGGCAATAGGCTCACCCACTATTACATGGAACTCATAACATAAATAATGAAAAGTGTCTGTTTTACATTGTACAGTGGCATTAAGTGCTGTAGAGTGCACCTCTGCCTACCGGGATAAAAGGCGTGATGTTATGTCTATCATCATTATAACTTTTATTTAATGAACCTTGTCTTTCTTACTCACAGCTCGGTATTATTTACCGCGACATCAAGTTGGAGAACATTCTCCTGGACGCCGAAGGTCACATAGTGCTGACAGACTTTGGCCTGTCCAAGGAGTTCTGTGGTGGCGAGAGCAGAGCCTACTCCTTCTGTGGCACCATTGAGTACATGGCGCCCGAAGTGGTCAGGAGCGGCAGTCAGGGTCACGATATTGTGAGTACCAAGTTTCCTATATCTTTATAACTATTTTGTTCCAAAGATTTATTTATTTATTCATTTATTTATGCACAACACAGTTCGACACACAGACAGTACGTAGGAGAATACATATGTAAATAAATTGGAGGAACATAGGTCCTACATATTCCCGTAGGAATCTTCTCCTGTAGTCCTCTGACAGGATGGTTCGGCGAATGTGGTGGTCGTACTTTATTTTTTATACATTTTTATATATATTCGGATTGTGATTAGTTATTACGTTATTTGAATGGTTTTCTAATTATATTTAAAAAGTTTTTGAAAGTAACATGGCAGACTATTGCTGCAAAATTTTAATAAGACAGTTGTAATTTATCATAACAACTATATTTTAAATAGTAAAATGTTTTCGCGAAATATTGGTGTTTTTCACACCTGTTTTTGTTTGCAATATAATCGGATATTACTCCTTTATTATTGAGTAATTAATCATAATTTAATTTTACTAATATCTTCTAAAGAATAATTAATAATTTCTCTACAAATAATACGAAAGTAATTTAAACTGTCAAACACCAAGCGGTCACCGGTGACCGCAACCTATTGTTATTTAATTGTGTCTATAAATACGGTACTCGACGAGTTAATATAAAAAGTGCTTTTATAGTTTTGCGTGTGACAAAGAAGCATGGTGTGATTTCCATCATATCATGGTGTTGAGTGGGAACCTTGTCGCAGTCACGAATGTGAAAACGTTAACCTTATTTTATAAAACTTTTTGATTTTCATTATGACATAACATAACATCACGCCTTTTATCCCCGAAGGGGTAGGCAGAGGTGCACATTATACCACTGTACAATGTAACACCCACTTTTCACTATTTATGTTATGAGTCCCATGTAATAGGGGGTGAGCCTATTGCCATATACCGGGCACAATTCCAGACTCCGTGCTACTACTGATTTTCATTATGATTTAAACAAATCATAATATCTAATATTTATTATTAGGGAATTATTCTTCTAGCATGGATTCTGGTACTGAATTTTGTCCAATGGTACATTTTATACAAATGTGTATTGCTGAAGAAAAACTACATTATGATGCAGATTTTAACAAAGATGCACTATATATACTATTGAAACATTTCTTATAACTAGAAGTAGTCATAACACATACATATATATTTAAAGGCAAAATACTGTACCCATCTAACCCACTTATTATTGACTCAAAACTCAATAACAAAGAGTAGACAATATAAAGGCATATTGCCCAACCATATTGCAATATATTGACAAACGGTCGCAGATAGGGTTCGTGATTCATCCATTTATCTGCTGCTTAAGGCTTTATAATACTTGATTAGATTGATATTCCCTTAAGGGGATCAGCAGAGTAATAATTACTTGTAAGTACGTAGATTGGAGTCTTTTGTTCGTCTTAAGATAATTGCAATGTAGAGATATCGTTTAAACTTGATTCAGTGATGGTCGTGTGACAGTCAACTGCTGGGATATAGGTTTCCCTTTACATAATAAGGAGTTTGCCATAATTTCCTTACTAGACAGGCTGGTTAAAAGTCGCAGTTTAACTTTCAGATTTATCACATTTATTTGTAAGGTTCTGTGTTTTCTGTAGAGTATGACCTGGGTGTTTTTAAGGTCCGAGTTATCAGGTGGCTTATAGGCAAACGTGCTCCCTCGTAGACCGGATCATCACTTACCACCAGGCGAGATAGTGGTCAAACGTCGGTCCATTAACTCGTCGAGTACCGTATTTATAGACACAATTAAAGAACAATAGGTTGCGGTCACCGGTGACCGCTTGGTGTTTGACAGTTTAAATATATATATATATATATATATAAATAAGAGCACTGTTGCACAGTCTCTGTCAAATGTGTAGTCCCTTACTTCCCGGGAGGGTCTCACGATACCCACGGAAAGTCTAGCGGTGGTAACAAATACAAGTGAAAATAACAAACATTAAGTACTTAAAACAATGATTAAATAACAATTTTCGCATTGCTACAAGCGATGTCAACAATAAATTCGAGTCAGCTGTTCTTCAAACGAAAACGAATAGAGTCGGTAGAAAGTATACAACACATTCTTTACAACACCTGTGTTTATACACACGGTATTATAGCCTTTATTCTGTAGTAATAGAGGAGGTTATACTCTGGACAATGCAGTATATACACCACATGGGCACATTCATACGGTATTACAGAAATATAGACTTTATTTCAAAGTGGATAGAGGAAGTTTTGTGTTAGTTGTGTTGAATCAAAAGATAATACGTGTGAATTGGTTGATTGCTCGCAATTATATGCTTCTTTTATTTTACGGTTGGTTATTCGTGTGTTTGTGGTTAGATATATAGTTTTATATTATGTGCTAGCTGTGCCTACGACTTCGTCCGCTTGGAATAGTGATTCACAGCTCCTCCCCCCTTGGTGATAGCGTGATAATATGTAGCCTATATGTTGACCAGGTCTGTTAGTATTTTTCATGCAAAATTTGAAGTAAAACCATGCAGTACTTTTCGATTTTAGTCCGGAAATACATACAGACAAACAGACAAAAATTCCAAAAACCATATTTTTAGTTTCGGTATCGCTTGTAGATCACGCCCGGCCCTAGGATTTTATTATAATGTAAACAGATCATCAAGAAGATTTTTGAAAAACTTAAATATACAAAAATTAATTTAAATGAAAATTGTGTATTTTATCTAGATTTTTAAAGTGAACAAGCAAACAAAATTAAATAAGTCATTATTTAATTATTAACTAACTTTAAGTAATTAAATATTTCTTCAAAATGCTCTTCCGTTTTGAACTGACTACACAAAAAGACAGTTATCATTATTATGACGTCTATAAAAACAATTAGTATTAATTAATTTAAATAACAAATACGATTACATTGTCACAAACAAAACAAGACTATATACCTGTCTTTGTTTTATTTGATACAAATTCGCTATGTCTATCTCTTTCCTAAGACCGTGACCTACATGGTGATTGCGATGTTGTGCTAATTCGGGTAGTGTGTCTAAGAACATAGTGCTAATGTAACATAACATAACATTACATGCTCCCTTTTAAAAGGACAGTAACGCATCTGTAAGTCCTCTGGTGATGTCGCGGAGAACCTAACGGGTAACCGGGGCTCCGGCTCGACGTGCAGGCAGAGGACAAGGAACGGGGTGGTTTTTAGTCAGTAAGAGTCTGACTCTCCGTCCAGCCTCACCCAGGCGGGAGCAGTCATTCGATGATTTTTTCCCCCTTAAAAATGACTTCAAACCGAAAAACCGAAAAAGCCACTCTCCTCCATAACCTTTCTATTGCAAAACTTCAATGGGTATTCGGTATACCCATTCAAGTGTTTCTCACCATAATAACACAAAAGCTATGGGGCATATTGTAAAGATTTCTATAAGTAACTTTCACTGTTTTTTTAATGTAATGACTCCATGTCTTTTTGTTTAGTTACGTACCTGCCTTCGTTTTTTTATGGTGTTATGGCTTTTTGTATTCATTTGCAATGAACTATGGCAGACTTAGCGTCAGCATCCGTTAAATAATTTATTTGCCATTTCTTCTTTCAAGTTATTGCATAGTGTAGGAAACTGGAAATGATTATTATGTATTACATGTTAAAGTACTAATTTTTTGATCTAAAAACCTAATTAATACTTTGTTTGTTCTTATGAATCTCGTATGATGTGTTCAATAGTCACTCTTGCATTTACTACGCCACCCAGGCAGTCTAGTTAGTCTACAATATATTTATAAATAGATGTAGTACATATTTTGTGTATTAATATGTTGGTCTAGTCACGAGATACATATTTTTAGAAAGCAACCATTTTGTTTACAACAGTAAATAATTTTGGCAGACGTAAATTTCAATGTCTGTATTACTTATTTAAATAAATTCGTTTCTATGCAGTTTTTTGTTACTAAAATTAATATAGCAATAATTTTATAATATTGTGGAGAATTTTGATGTAAACATGCATATTTATTCACCGTTTATCATTCCATGTCCACGTGGAAAGAAATATTAATTTGTAGGAAGAATTTTAACAATGTTTCTTCATCAAATAAATTAAAAATTTTACCTAAAACACACTCGAACTATCAATAAACAACATAACAACGTTTTAAACTTTAAAATTCACACAAGCCAAAAGTAAAATTGAATTTGTTGCCCAAATTGCCTAGATTTGGTATTTGGAACTTTGGAAGCCTGCCCAACTGATGGCCGATGATAGGCTTCCTTCCTACAGTATTGCAGTACCTATTTGAAGGATACATTTGGTTTTGTGACACATGTGTCCGGATTTTGGTAGATGTTCTACTTTTTAAATGGAGATTACCTTTTTTAGAAATAGTCTTGAAGGGAGAAGAAGGGGTAAATTGCTCTTTCTGTATAAGATTTGAAGAACTGTTTTGACCTTCAGTTTCATTCTCCTATACTTAACTGTCATACTAGGTAGTAGCTTTAAGTTATTTTCCCATACTTATAAAGCAACAGAAATACTTTTCGTTGGTACTGTATTGATACAATACAGTGTAAGATTAAGATAGATAGAAATTATCTAAACATGATAACCAATTTATTCCCACTTAAAATCTAGTGGTAGAATCAATTGTCGAGACCTCATTTAGTATTCAAAAACTTATTTCAAAATATTAAAAGAAAGAACAGAAACAAAGTAACAAAACTAATTACAATTTCAAGTAAAAACTTAATGAATTCAATGTAATGAGGAAGAGTAAGCCTAGGTAACATGTCCTTGCCTCCAATGTCAGTGGCGTTGGGTAAATGTAAATGGTAAACATTACTGTAGGGATTACATGTAGGGGTGGTATTGACTATAGTATTGTAATGTGGACTTGATGTGATCGGGTTGTGGTATGCAGTCTGTTTTTGGAAAAGGATGGAACATCATCAAATGTTCCATTCTGAATTTCTGTCTCTTATAATTGACATTGTAAGTCTTGCTTTGTGATATAGTAGTAAGATTGCCCACTTGCAACCCTGGCAGATGGTAACCAGTTTTAGGTCCCTTTTTGTTTTTGAGGGGGGAAAATCATCCAGTGACTTCTCTCGCCCAGGTGAGGCGAGAAGAAGTCAGACTCTTACTGATTAAAAACCACCCCGTTCCTACTCCTGCATTTCGAGCCGGAGCCCCGGCAACCCGTTAAGTTCTCTGCAGCTCGACATTTATCACACCCACGGCCGAAATACGGGTAATTTGTATTTCTCTTCTTTCAAAATTTTAATAAGTTTTAATACAATCATAATTTCTATCCAAATCAGCACCATTATATTATAATCCAAAATTATCACCTAAAACACCATTATAATATTATTATCCAAAATTATCATTATGTTATCGGTTATATCAAATATTATCTTAACCAGTACTTAACGAATTGTACAAAAATTGTGTGAGAGACATAACTGACCTATTTGCGAGATAATCGTTGTTGACCTGTTTAGTTATCATCCTGATAAGCTCTTAAAAATGTTTTTATAAATATTTTGTCATAAGCTAGGGAGCATTCACCCCGATTAAAAGTAACAGAGATTAAAAAAAAAGTAATATTGTTCTTTTGTGCTAGAACTGTATTGAACTGAGTGGTCACACACAAGCCGCGACTCTTGAATAAGTTGCATTAATAAGTTAATTTGATTTTTGGGTCTAGCAAAGTATTATTGAGATGTCCCAGTAAAAGCACGGATTCTGAAATTGTATGCTAGGTTTATAGGCAATAGTCTGACACTCCCTCCCGTCTTGATTTACCCCCGTAAAAAAACCATAACTTAACAAACTAACGGGTAACCGGGGCTCCGGCTCGACGTGCAGGAGAAGGAACGGAGTGGTTTTTAGTCAGTAAGAGTCTGACACTCCCTCCCGCCTCACCCAGGCGGGAGCAGTCATTCGATGATTTTCCCCCCTTAAAAAAAAAGCCATGCAAAAGTAATTTAAAGTATTAACAAAACGACTCCTCTGCATACCCTTTCTGAAAATAAAGACCTGGTGTTATGTTACTTCCTAGAAACCTAGCAATGACTATAAACATTCAATCGCAAAGCGATATATGAACTAATTACAATCTCTAAGTATATCGTTACACAATAACATTGTTAGTCACCAAGGCTGCGTACGCGCAGGCTATGGGAAACTGCACTGTTCACAATGTGGGTACTTTAGTGTTGCTGTTATTATGTTTAATATTATTATAAATTTAATTTTTTATGGTATTATGAAGGTTAAAGGAGGAGGAATAATGATGGATAATACTTTAAATGAGGAATAATACTTTAAATGTTCGTTTATTAAGAAAATATCTGTCTTTGTCTATGTATACCCCTTCTATAGTTGCCCTGTATCAATTTTCAGAAACGCAAAATACCATACACGTGCAAAATCTTTAAAAATAAACACAAAACTTTCTTTTCACTTATAAATAGATACACATACATATTAATATCTAGACGGAAACTAGATTCAAGTTGTAAATAAGTACAGAATCTGGGGTCTATTTTCGGAGATATTCCAATATAGTATTACCATCTTAATATAACTGTTGAGTTACTAAGGCATACGACATGATATTGAATCTCTTTCGTGGAATTTCTAAGTACTTCAGGGATCGGAACGGATTTATAAAATTCCTTATACATATTTTTATATTTCTCTGTATTTTTCTATAATTAAAGTGATACTACGACACGATTTTTTTATCAATTTGCAAGATAATTTTTTCCAATCACAGCAGCTGTCAAATAATGAACGTCCAATGGTGTCACACTAGCTAATTCCCTATTGGACGATGAAAAGAACTTGCACACTAGCGCCATCTATTGAGCACAAATACGGTAGGCCCCATTTGAACTGCAATCTTCAACCTGTCATGCGTAGATGACTGGTGGATTGAGATCAAACCGCTCTTTTGTAAAGGAGGCTCTAGTTAGGAGGAGGAGGACGAGTCAGTCCATCAGTGGACTGTCACAGAGTGTTGATTTGATACGTTTGTCTCTCTGTGTTTTACCATAGGTAAAAAATTAAGATTAATAAATTCGAATAAAATGTGGCCTGTTTCATTTACAGACAGGACAATGACACTTTGATAAATAATTCATAACAGGTAACATGTCAGTGTTATTTTTAGATCTTTGTGTACTGAAACTAATTTAACCTTGTCAACTTAATTAATATCGAGTTTCGTTGGTAATATGGTTCTGTTCCCAGATGTGTATAAAGATTGAATAATACCAATCTGGGATTAATCCTATAAATGGAGAGATCTGGAAATAGGATGTTGACAAGTGGTCGGAATAACACATTCTCGTTATATAATCATCTATAAAACAAACACCAATGATTTGATGTTTAATTTAGATTATCAGATAAAGACAAAATCTCATTGGCTTGATAACCTATCAACTCGTTGCTATGCAATCTCATATCTTTCTCACTTCTACAATAAATACAAGATAATCTCGTCCATAATATCTCGAAACACGAACTAAAATGGTCAAGCACAATGCTTTGTTATTGTACACTTGAAGTATTTTTTCTGCCGCAGTCCCAAGTAGGCAATGGATGACAAATACAGAAGGCATGCGATTCAACCGTAATGAAACGTCATTGACCGATCCTACGGTATCGATGCTAAAATAACTAGAAAAAAACACAACACGACCTACTGTCCAAGGCATAGAGTTCAATATCCATCGATCTTATATTAAGGAACACTTAAAAAAACTCCGACGATCGTATAAGGTAACAATGCCGAAATGGAACCAACAAATGAAATTGAACCTTAATTGTCGTAAAAGAAGTTTTATTTTACCAGTAGTCAAATGGATAGTTGATAAAAATGGAATTATCGATACTAATGAGTCCTTTGTTTGTGTAAATTAGTGTATTTATATAAACACAATTGGGGTGTTTAATGGGTCTGAATTCTGCAAGTAATTTAAAGCCTTCGACAAGTCGAGTACAGCGACCATTTTGAATTACAATAATAAGAAGACAGAGAACGAAAAATTTAATATTGCACCCACGTTCCTAGTGAAAGAACTCTAAATGGTGGGTCCATTTAGAGTTCAATGCATTAAATTCTCATGTCATAGAGAAAAAAGCTAAGGTTGCGTACATCAAGCTAACTGTAACTATAAACCAATAGGAATTTGGCGATGACCACGCCTTCGAAGTGATTTGTGATTATACGGTTAAAGCAAAAGAAAGCTTATCCGTAACTGGAAAACGATTGCCACTACCTTTGTAGGGTAAACTAATAGATGTCGTTGAACAGATTGTTTTCAAATTAAACGGATTAGTATTTTATTGAAGTGGATTGGCGATTTAATCCCGTTAATCTTGTTTAATTGTATTTAAATTGTTAAACAAGTTACCTTAGAGGATTTATATTATAGTCATACACGTAAATGATAAAATGTAAACACAAGGCTTTGCATAATCTACATATACAAAGATGCCTGCCAACGACTATATATCAATAGAAAATTTCCATGGCAACAAAATCTAGAAGCACTAAACCATAATAAAGTTGAAATTACAATAACGGACACAGATAACTATAAAACCCAAGTGAATGAGCTTCCAGCCGCTACACCTTACGCCTGTACCCACGTAAATTTTCAAGTTTATTAATGTGTCACCTTCGGGACTCTTGCGCACGTTAAAATAGAGCGGGACGCTATTATTAGCGCATAACTGTGTGAGTGAGACAGGAGTATGTGTTATCGGTGTCTGGCGGAATGGCATGTAGCTGATTGTTTTCTATTTATCTTTGTTATTGATGTCTCGATGTACTGGATTACGGTCGGCGCATACGCATGGCCTATTTCTATTGGATTTCTTCTTGTGTTTTTTTAAGACATGATTCTAGATTTTATAATAAGCATCAAATTGATGATATTAATTTAAAAAATTGATGTTTGCTGAGTTACAAATATAAATGTTAAGCTATTGTAGCAGTTCCTGTAATCTAATAGATACTACAATATCGAAGACTGCAAGAGATACAGCAAAGTAACCATACTAGTTCGGCTATCTCCGTCAATTCCGGATTTAGCCGAAGGCTTTCTCAAAACCGTTGCATAATGTTACTCAGCATAATAGTTTCCTTACAGCAAATTAATTGTTTTACTACCTAGCCTCTAGTTATTACGCTTTCGGAAGGTACACGAAAGATGAAGCAAAATTGAGAAGAGAAAGTTTAGTAATTATGGTTTTAAAATCGTTAGGCAGATGAAAGAATGATCGTAGAATAATAGAGGTTAGAATGTAAACATGATATAGTTAAACACGTTTAACATCGAACATAACGTTCATCTTGAACCATGTTGTTAGTTAAATAGTTACCGGTGGTGAGCCTATTGCTACCGACTGCAATTACTGCAAATATGGGTATTTGAAACCCTGGATTATTTTGGTCAAGGGAAACAAAGCTAAGATCTTGTAGTCAATTAGTAAAAAAATGAATAGTAAAGATCTGAGATAACGATGATGATTTGCAAAATACTATTACTGTTACAATTATTCATTTTATCACTGACCTACATACACATTGTATACTTATTCAAATCATATTCCAAGTTATAATAAAAAAGAAAATTCACGAGCCGCACTAAATCAATCATAATATTCATTCGTCCTTGTTTCGTCCATAAGGTTATTTTTACACAGCTTCACGGCACATCTTATTTGCGTGGACTAAATTCACTTAAGTTATGCCCATACGATTTGCAAAGGCCTTGATTACATGGTAATCATTGGTCCCGTTAAGACTGGATGGCAAGCTTAGCTAGATTGATAAGGCTTCTTGTTAGCATCATTATTCGTTGTATGTGTTGGTAAGTTGTCTGTAACAGTATGTTTTTCGCATATCATCGTGTTCAATTTGTGTGTCACTTATAGCTTGAATTTATGATCTTTAAAATACAGTTTAGGTTAGAGACTTCATATATAAGCGATATTTTCGTACTTCGTTAGTTTCAGTAATATTACACAACAATATACAATATATCATCCTTAAAAAAATTGTCTAAAAACCATAACAGATTACCACATTGAAAGAGATACAAACAGATCAAATTGTTAACTTTATCCCATTCGTTTAAGTTAATTAATATGCCTGTATTGTTAACAAAATAAAGCGCCAATTATTTCAATACACAACCCATTTATTACCGAGCTGTTAGTCTGGCCCACATTGTGGTGCATTTGCACAACATTTCGCACAAAATGATTCACAATTTCCAATTAACGTAATCATCACGTAATTTGTATGTAAACTTAACGAGACAATGGCAATGCACAATTTTAATGAAGTACGTGTTTATGAAGTATATGTAGATGTAGAATTGAGTGATCTTGTTATTTAACAAAATGTTGCAGATAATAATAATATGGAATCAATCCCAAAAGTCAACGAACAAAGTGGATAGACATTCCAAGAAAATGTCTCCAATGTAGGTGAAGTTGATTACGTAAAATTGCCTCCTAATGAAAGGGTGACATCTCTGGAATCAAAGTATAAAGGCGAATAAATTATACCTTTTCATATAGGCCAATATCAGGGCACATTTTTATGAAATCAAATCAGTACTGTTTACCGTACTGGTTTTCGGAACGCAACCTAAATATTTGATGCAGGGCAAGCTGTTAGTCATACCAAATTATAATATTTGTTATGGCACATTACTAATGGTATAATTCATACTATCGCTCTATTCAATCTACAGTTATTTGTTACTCGACCTAAATTATGTAGTAATCCGAATTTAACAATCGCAAAGTAGACTTAATTTGCCTTAATGCATTCAGCATCACGATCAGTATGAATCAGATCATATTTCAGTGCCAAAAGGCATTGCGGCGAATTACCTTAAAAAACTCACATCGTTTAAAAGTACATTCGAAAGGAATAATGAAACTCATTAAATAAACAGAAAAAGAAAACATGACGCAGATAAGCCGGGTATCATGTGAAATGTGCCACCAAAACCGGCGCGAGCGCAATATTCAAAATGGCTGCCGCTGTATGTAGGTCACGGCAATCGGTGCCTCGGTGGCTGCTCTTACGAATTTTTTAAACCCGAAACCAATTTGACTTTACTATGCAATGTTTTACTTAGTTTTGTGTTGAGTGTCTATGTTTGAATGATATTTGGTTTAACTCTGATGAAAATCTTCGCCCTTGAGCGCGAATAACGGTGTTTCCGAATTAAATATGCCTAAAAATTAACAAATAAACGGGGCCTCCTCAGACATGTTTAGGTTAAAAAAACTTTTCAACTTAGCCAGTCACCGTTTATCGTAATTATGGTTTCAATGTCGTATCATATCCTTGTATAAAAACTCGGCCTTGACTTTATAAATACACAAAAACATAACGGAACATTTGACATGAATCTAGACAAATAGTTTTAAGAAACAGTATTTTATGAGACGAAGGACAATAACATTGTAAAACCGGAGAGACGTTGAGACCGAACGGTGCGACCGACGAATTTGAATGAGGTTATAAAATTTTAAATGAGATTCTGGCTATGAGCAAATTAATGACTCTTTGCGGACAACTGTTTCTTCTCATACATTTACGAGATGATGACGTTATCAATACATAGTATAAAACAAAGTCGCTTTCGCTGTATGTCCGTATGTATGCTTAGATCTTTAAAACTACGCAACGGATTTTGACGCGGTTTTTTTTAATAGATAGAGTGATTCTTAAACTGTCAAACACCAAGCGGTCACCGGTGACCGCGACCTATTGTTCTTTAATTGTGTCTATAAAACCGGTACTCGACGAGTTAAGGAAGGTTTGTATGTATAATAAATGCATATTGCACCCGTGCGAAGCCGGGGCGGGTCGCTAGTTTAGTCATAAAATAGTAAATATTTATTGCTCGAATAAGGTCTATTATTCGCATTATCTTCCACTTCTGGAACTATTCGCTCCAAATATATTAACCTTCAAAAATATTCAGTCTTGAACTTCAAATTTCCATCCGTCTGTCAGA